ATAAAAAAAAAAATTTTGAATTTACTTACTTGTAGCCGGAGTTAGAGGCGGTCAGATACTTATGACCGCTACTGTATATAGTGTTTTCATAACAGATATCAAAAGGACGCTATTGGGAAATATTAACCAAGAGTTCAGATTTTGACTAATTCACTTGTATATCATTAAAAGCGAAGAAACTATTTGCAATAGATATAATATTTGTGAGGTCCTTCCTGAATTTAGTGAGCCAGAGAGTGTCACCATGTAAGCGAAGGCTAGAATCTTTAGATGAGAATTATTAGTTATAGGAAGACAGGTATCAGGACGCCATTTGACTTCTGTAATGAAACCATGCGGAGAATTATTGATAGTGCATAAAAGCAGATCGTAATATATACATCACAAAAGTAGTGAGATATCTTCTTCCTGATCTATTCCTATATGTACCAATTATATGTTAGAATTATCATGGGCTGTGAAGACTTGGTTAACTCAGGGAAGAAATAATCTTAAAATTGTATGGGTGAATTTAGCAAAAAGGCGTAATCTTGCAAGTGCTGCAGCAAGAGTGAAAACATTCATATAATCATATACTTTAGACATATCTTGTAGTAGGACCCACAATTCCGTATTATTATAGATGACATTCTGTTTGATGTTGTCAAAAAGATATATAGAGTCAAAAGTAGATTTAAAGGGCAAGCCCCCAAAATTATATCCTTTAAGAATATTATGTTATACGAAGATATTAGCAAGTCTAAAATTGAGCAGTTGAACAAAAGCCTTTCGAGCACTTTTTAATAAGGTGATTGGACGTGTATTATTTAGGTCATTTTCCCAAAATTTCAGCTTAGGAATCGGGTAAATATATGCCAGATTTCAATGATAAGGTATTGATAAAATTTGTAAACAATCATAGATAAGGTGTCACAAACATTTTTCGTGGTGGTCCTAAATTTTTAACATTTCATTCAAAATTTTTGATGGTCCTGAGGCTTTATTATTTAGAAGTCGATCAATGATCCTATACTATTTATTCATCTGCAGAAGATAAGGATATTACGTTGTGATAGATACGTAAATCAATTGAATCTACTAGGGTGTATGCAAAAGTCCATTCTTCTGGAATCTCTTTCACACAGTGCATATTGCCTGCAACTTGTTGAAAATGCTTGGCAACCTCTTTTTTAACATCTGGTTTTTCAAATAGCAAATTACGAGACGATGATAAATTATCGATATATCTATCTAAAATTATAGTTGTTTTTCTGCGATTAAGGGCTGAGTCAATCATTCAGGATGGATTGTGTTTATAATCATCGATACAGTTGTCTAACACTTCCTTAATATTCTTAAGCTTGAAATTATATTCACGCAGTTCCGCTTTTGTTTTAAAGGTAGCAAAAAGAAGTCTGATATCTGAAAGGATAGAATAAAGCATGGTTATATGAGGAGAACAATTTAGAGAAATGGTATTCAAGCTATTAAAGTGGGCAAGCTGTAAAAACTGTGAGTATAAGTTGTTCCATTTGTCATGAACAAAAAAGCCATTCAGATATTTTTTTTGTTATTTTCTCAAAATGATAAAATAATTTTATATCATTATAGATCTTTGAAAGATCGACAGGTTTTTTTGAGAAGTGATAATTTTTTGCCTTGTGTATAATACTTTTTTTGCTACAGAGATAAGAGTGTTTTGAAAGAGATCTCAAGAAGAATTAAGAAGACTTTGGGACCAGACAGTTTTAGATGAAATATGTTTCAACAAATTGGAATTCAAATTATTATTCAAATTATCTCTAAATTTAGACCATTTCGAATCATTTATTAAGTTATAATTGAAGGAAGATTTGACTAGACTTTTCTTGTAGAAACAGAGTGTTTTAAGAAATTGATTATTTTAGTTGAAATGATATAATGGTCAGTGACAGAAAATTTTGTTTGAATAGTTTTGCAGTCAAGAATATTAAGTGCTAGTTCAGGTGTCATATAGATATAGTCAATCCTGAAAGAAGATTTTTTGCTGACACAAGATAAGTATGATAATTGGTCATTTTTAAAATAGACATTAAACGCGTCATATAATCGTAATTATTGAGAGAATTAATAAAATTTAAATTAAAAGGGGATTTGTTGACACGGTCTATGTTAATATTTAAATCACCAATAAGAATGATATGTAATTTGTTCTTAATGGCATTATCTAGTAAACGTTTCAGAAAAATAACTGATTGTTTTGTGATGTCAGTAGAAGAATTGGCAGGTGGGATGTAACAATTAATGACTATTAGTTTTTGTTTGTTCACAAATTGAAGTTTTGCATAAATAATTCTATCTAATTGAGATTCATGAGCAAATATATGTTTGAATAATAATGAGCTAAATGAAAGGCTGACACTAGTTCTAATTGATTAGGAGTTTTGGTTATTGCTAAAGAAGGTAGTATAATTAGGGAAATCTCGGTTAAAAATGGATGTAATTCTCTTAAAATTTGTTTCTTGTAAACCTATAATGTCAAATTGATTAACTGAATATAAGGAAAAAAGGTTATTTTGTTTTGTTGGGTCATTTAAAAAATGAACATTGTGGGTAGTGATTCTAATATTAGAGAAAGAAGGAATGTGAGGATTGGGGATATGCATGTTATTCATTATAGGAACAGTAATTATGATAATAATTATAGTTAAATTTGGAAGCTACCAATGCAGCGTTCTGTTATTTTATCAAATTCTTCATTTAATGGGTCAAAAACTTGTGTGTCATATTGAATGATAAGATTTTTGTTAATAAGGACTGTTTGGAAATCTTGACAAGTTTTGAGCAGCTTATTAATTATTGGAGTGAATTCAGAGATTTTTTGTTATTGTTTTTGGCATATAGCAATGAGTTGTTCATTAGATTGATTTTGTAAGTGAGCAGTATAGAGAGATATGTTAATAAATAGGGATTTCATATCTGCTTCAATAGCATTATCTGGAAGTGTGTTGTTAAATGTTTCAGCTTCTTGTGGGGTTATAACTTTAATATTAAGTGCTTTTTCAACCACTTCAAGGCGAGATTACAAGAATTTAAAGGCAGTATAAAGATTATTTAGAGAATTAAAAATAACTTCAAGTTGAAAAGTGATAAATTTCTTAAAGTCAGGGTCATGCATTGATCCACTTGCTGCTGTTCCATTTTTGATATTAGGAATAGAACACACTGTATTGTCAAAAATGGTGTCATCATCCATCAGTTCATCCTCCCACCTTAGGACAGGGGTTTATTAGTAGCTTTACTAGGATTAACAGGCTTCTTTGGTGGGGAAGGAGGTCATTTGTTTTGAATTTGAGGACGTCTGACATTAGAACTAAAAGAGCTAGCAGCGTCAGCAAACGTGTTATTATCTTTAATATCACTACGAGATTTCTTAAATGCAGTATATTCATTGAATTGAGCTGGTTAAAACCTTTGATATAGGTGTTGAGTATTTTTGTCTTTTAGAGTATTATGTTTTTTGGAATACGAGAACACGTTGTGGTGTGTTGAAGAGAAAATGGCAAATAGTTTAATTTTCGCATCAGTTCATTTGAGTTTTTTATTGTTGAGCGTAAGATTATCAGTCGTAATAGCAGTATCAGCTTCCTTCACATTGTGAAAATAAAAGTACGCATATTGCAAATAATTACAATTAGATCTTGCTTATGGAATGATCCAAGCTGTAGCATTTACCATCTTACCGATGTCGTATAGATCACGTGCTGTGGTTCCTCGTGGAAAATTAGTTAATTTTTTTGAGAATTTGGAATAATCTTGGATTTTTTTTCTGTTCTGGTCACACATATGCATACGAATAGAGTCATTAATAATGAGCAATCCATCAGTCGCTTGAAGAATGTCAAATTTGACTTTGTCATCAAAGGTGATGGTAACGCGTTATCACAAATTTCTAGTTTTTATAATACAACGTATGATATTACCATAATGAGAGAAAAAATTTTTAATTTATATAACTGTAAAATCTAACAGGATCTCAGTTACTGTGATTAACTGTGCAAGTACAAAAGGGTGCAATTTTTGTACAACCAAGGGTAAAAACATGGTCTTATCTGTATTAGAAATCTGCATTTTACAAAGATCATCACGTTCGTTAGAGTCTAAAAAGGCAACCTTAAGAATGTTGATTGAAGGATCAGCAGGAAGTTTTCCACATGTGACTCAAGCAAAGAAAGTGTAGTTGAAACGATATTTGTTAGTGATTTCAGTGATCTTCAGTTGGGGGTTAGCTCCAGAGTATTTTTCAAGTGAAATATATGCAAAAAATTTTTCAGCACTGAGGAGTGGCGTAGCAAACGCAACTAAAGTAGTATTAATAGTATTTTCAGACACGTCAGAGGGACCGTTGACATTCATTTCATCTTTTTTGTTATTGGTTGTAGTTTCAGTGACTGTTACAGTTTTTTTATTTTTTCCTTTATCAAGAGGCAGATGTGTAGTGTCAGAGATTTGGTCAACTTCCATAATGACAACAGGTGGTTATTCAGTGGTAGAGCTTTTAGTAACAACTACTTGTTCAGTTGTTTGAGTGATATTTTGTCTTTTTTGTAGTGGTAATTTATCTTTGACTGGCGACGTAGAGCAATCGCAGTTATTAGATTTTTGATTTTTTTGGGCATTTTTGAGATTAGCAGAAAGAGTTTTTAAAAAAAAAAATAAAATAAACATTTTTTTTTTTTAAAGTGTGGTAGTTTCGCAATATCTTTATTATGAAAGTAAAATATACAAATAAAGTACAAATCAAAAGAAATTACAAAAATCTCGTAAAGAACTAATCTAAGACTAACACTATAAAAGACCGATCCTGTACTCTCCCGAAATCAATTTATAACCTAAGCTAGAAAAATCATTTTTCGAGTAAGAATATAGAAAAAGTCAAAGAGGATGAGGCCACTACTGCACTAAAAATTTGACCAATGGGATCTCATCTATACCATCGAAGATATAGAAGGAGAGCTAAAACAGTGAATAGAAAGGTTAGATGACAAATCATAACCTGAAGTAATAAAATTGGCAGCTTTTGAATCAAAAGTAATGTTAAGGGATTTTTCAAAATCATGAACGAGTTGACAATGATCACGCCAAATATTTTGAGTAAGTTCAAAAATTTGATGCATGAAAGAAGAGCAAGCAGCTAAAGCTAATGGTTGTGATAAAAGTTTATTGAAAAAGAATTTAAAAAGGAGTATTAGAACTATTTCTATAATAAGAGCGAAAAATTCTGAAGTATTGTAAGTATCGAGCAGCCAAATGTTTAACTGATCAATTTCATAATTATGTGCATGGGTGATATCTCTTAAATAAGTTTTTATTTGTTGAATTATCTTTTTTATTTCATAGTTGACAGTGAGACACATCCATATGTGATAGAAGTTTTCATCAGCGGCATCACATCTAAGACACAAAAGTGAGGGGTCATAAATGGATAGATGTCATAATTTGAGAATCTTAAAAGTTGGTAACATTTCAAGAAGACATTGATATTTCATTTTTCTAACAAAAGAAGCAGAATATGGTGTAGATTGTAATGCAGTATTGTCATTGAATATGAAGGAGGTGGCGAACCAGTTGATTTGATAAAGTCATGAAAGTTTTGCTAGAACAGAGAGCTGAAGTAACCATGAGATAGAATGTTTACAGAATAGTTCTTTGCAAAATTGTCTGATGGGTATTAAAATTAAAGTATTGTCATATGTAAAATAGCATTGAGATGCATTATTCATGTAAAGTTGAAGGGCTGTGATGTCTAAACAGGATTTTGCTAGAGCATCGACTTTATTATTAAAAATATTGTCAGTGTGAACTTTGACTTTGATCATCTTGACAGTAAGGTTGTGAGTGTCCATTATTTCAAAAAAATAAGATCAATGCATATAATTATTAATTTTGAGAGCAGGGTGAACAGTGAAAGCTTCTGTTAGGAGGAATTTGTATTTGTTGAATTGGGAGATGATAACTGCTGAATCAGTATAAAAAGTAACATTATAGGAAGGGGAGCTATAAATAAAGTAGTGAAAATAGCTGCAAATTCAGGTAATGAAGAAGAGGGAAAGAAAGATGTAAAGGTAGAGGAAAAGAAAACCATTGGTAAACTTTGGTAAGTTTAAAGCTAGGCAATACCTATTCTTATCGAAGGAAGACCTAAATCTTGTAAGAATCCATCTGTGTAAAATTCTAAAACAGAAGAAGATAAAAAAGATCAAGATAAGGTTAATAATCAAGAATTAAATGGAGATGACAAATATTTATCAAATAAATTTGCAAAGGTAGGTGGAGTAAAATTTCTTGGTGCTGCAAATAGACATTGATTATTGTTTTTTAAGAAACAGGTTAAGGCGAGTTCATACAATACGCCATTGGATAAAATACTGTGAGTATGATCAATATGAGCATTTTTAAGTGAGAATGTGATTTTGCATAAAGGAAGACGGATAACGTAAAGCAACAATTGTCATAATGTCCTCTGAATTTAATGGCAGATTCCTGATGAATTTGACAATAAATATAAGGATTAAGGATTGTTATATAATCAGATCCAATTTCTGGTATGTGATGCATTAAATATACTGTGTCTTGATCAATTTTAATAATTCTTCCTAGAATGAAGTACTGTAAAGCGTGCTCTACAATACTCCCATGTATAATGACCCCACTTTTTGAGCGACTTAGAATGTAAAATACCCCAGATACTATACATTGTGAATATAGTGACTCTGTGTAAAGTACCCTGGGTATTATACATCGCAATTTATTTTAAATAAAATTTTTATTTTTGAATTTAATGCAGCGATCTGAAAAAAAATTATTTTTTATTGCTAATTTGATAAAACTTATTACAATTTATAATTCATTATCTAAATTGATATTCTAATTAATTTCATGAATTTTCATAACCATCAATAAAATCATCATATACGCTATCTTCAAACACCTCATCATCATTAGGATTTTTATTTTCATCATTTAGCAAATCATAATCGAAAATAAGATCATCTTCAGTATCATCTTTTGTTACAGAAATCCTGCAACATTTAAAGAATTTTTTAACTTTTTCAACATCAATGTTATCCCAAGCTACTTTAATCCATTATGCAACTTTATTATAAGCAGGTTTTTTGATCCTTCCAGCCAGAGTAAATTCATGAACTTCTTCAGACATCCATTCATTATATAATTTACGAATCTAACAAAATAAAGAAGATCATTAAGTAAAACCATCAAAATAAATCAAAAAAATCAAAAAAAAAAAAATAAATAAATTAATACCTTAGATTTAAAGTTTTATTGATTCCAACATCTAATGGCTGAAGTCTACTAGTCAGTCCTTCAGGAATTACTGCAATGTTTGTTTGTTTTTCATCAAGTCTATTTTTAACACTATTAACCAAATGATCATGAAAGGAGTCAAATATTAAAAGACTTCTTGGATTATTATTTATACCAGCTCTATTACATCATATATTTTCAATCCACCAAAGCATTTCTTTTTCATTAACCCAACCTTTTTCATTGACCCGAATTTTTACTCTATCAGGAAAAACTTCATGAGGTATATTCTTTAATTTGAAAATAATGATATGTTCTAATTTGGTTCCATCAACCATACATGTCAAAACTACTGTGAAACAATTTTTTTCATAACCAGTCGATCTAATACTAACAGTTTTAGATCCCTTTAATTCTAACGTTGTTAAAGATGGTAAATCAAAACTAAGGAAAGTTTCATCGAGATTAGCAATTAAATTGAGTGAATAATCATATTGTATACGCTTATAAAGAATAAAACTCAAAAATGAGTGCTGTTTTTTAATTAAATCTTTGGGCAATTATTGGAATATTGTTGTTCTTCTTTTGTTAGATAAGTTATATCTACCAATAAAACCATCTAACCACTTGTTAGAAAATTTAAAATCTTGGATTGTTGGATAAAGTCGTTTCATTTCATCAACTTCTGTCATTTTTTTGGCTTTTTTTATAACCATATTGTGAGTTACGGCTTTACTTTCTTGTCTTAAATTCTGTAACCATTGAAATAGTGTTTTTCTAGTTCAGGTAAACTTGGAGACCTCCCTGAATGTAACTTTTTAATATATGGAGCCAAAGACATAAATTGCTCCTTTTTTTTTCCCAATCCCTTATTTGCTAGCATGGTTACGACGTTTATTTCCAATTATCACCATAACGAAACTTACAAACTTAACAAAATGCCACTTACCTTGTTGCCTATATATAGCTAAAATGTATCACCATATATTGTACCACTATTATACTATAATACCCTCTGATCATAGTACCCCCAAAATTTTTGTAGAATGTAAAATACCTGAGATACTATAGAGCACGCTTTATGGTAATTGAATGAAGAATGCTAATCAACTGTGAATTCAGGGGTATGGTAGGAATAGGTAGGACGAGTGATGAAGTAACCATAATAGGGTTTGTGTTTAAAATTATTTGTGAACGATAATATTCTCTCTAAGTCAGGATTAGGACGAGACTCTAAGGCTTTAAACTAGCTTAGAGTTTGAAAACTATTGGTGATTAGATATGTGATAATATATAAATCATGAAATGTGAACATGTAGTTTCCTTGGTAGTTAGTAAGTTGCTCTATAAAAAGCAATGAGAATTTTCGTAAACTATGGGTGTGCTTTCTATAGTCATTATAAATAAGATCAAAAATTGGGGAATTTCCTCTTAAGATTCTATTTGACAAAGTAGAAGGTATGTTGAGTTTGAGTTTTATTGATTTGAGATCACAAAGGAGAAATGGGAGCCAATCATCAGCTCATGTTGTTTTTAAGAAATGTCAATAGAACAGAGGATTATCAATGAGCTATTCTTTTTGTTGAAGTTAAAGGGTACGTAAATAAAACGATTTTTTAAGTACATTCATTTCATTGGTCATTTGTAGAAGAGCATTGCTAAAGTTTTGGATTAATCTTTGATATAACAGAGTCAAATTATAAAAATAATGCGAATGAAACAAATCCATTGGGGTATGTCTGAAAAGTTTTAGTTTTCTTTTAATAAAGGCTAAGTAGATAGTGACAAAGCTTTTGTATTGTGATTCAGATGGCAAAGTGAGTTGAGACCTGTACTTAATTCTTGGAAGGAGAACGGTATTAAAAATATAAATTAGTTGTGAATCTGTAAGGCGTTTATACTTCATTGTAGTAACGGCCTTCTTGATTTCACTGTGTATCTGATTATAAATAAAACTCTTGTTAGACTTGAGCGAGATTTAAACGCTTAAGTAACGAATACTAGCTTTTGGGGGAAGAGTGTTGATAGACCATGTAGTATTATTGTGACTAATTTCAAAAGTGTGCTGTTGAGGGGTATTGACTAATAGTTCAGATTTAGACCAATTCACTTGTATATCGTTAAACGTGAAGAAAATATTTGTAATAGAAGTAATATTTGTGAGGTCCTCCCTGGATTTGGTGAGCCAGAGGGTGTCA